AAACTGTCAAAGCCTTGCAGTCCCGTGTTTTACGTGGCGTTTCTTGTTTGCTCAGGTCACGATACGTCCATATATCCGTTGATAATTTCAATGAAAACCGAAGGCCTTGGAAGCGCGCAGCGATGGAGCATCCAACACGTCGTCGCTGGACAGCGCCTTTAGCCACAAGTCGAGCAGTTGAGTTGGAAGCCAAGCCAGAGCAAACCACTGAGCAAACCAGAACTTCAAAAAATTCCTTCAAGTCATTCAAGAAGCAAAGAAACACACATGGCAACATGAAACGAAGCGAAGCGAAAAACCACATGAGAGAGGCTTTGAACACATATAAGATAGTTGCTACGCTACACCGAACTCGGACCAACCTGCAGCACCTCTTTGGCCGACTCGAGGACACCCTTTGCCCACGCCTCACCGGTTTGGGTCGCATCTCGGTTCACTTCCCGTTGTGCTTTCGGGCGCTTTTGAAAGAGCTTACCTAAGCTTCCAAAAAAACATTCTGGGAAGTCCAGCGGTAGTAGTATATAACATGCAATGACTGCACTGAGGTAGTCCGCCTGACACCATCTGTACGGCATAGGTGAAACGATGCCCACAGGATTCAACGAACTCCTCCTTGGTTACCAGACGTGGCCCTCGCTCAATCGAATCCAGCAAGTACAAGTCACCATGTGCGTCCCAGCGGTAGGCCACCCAATGCCAATTGTCGATATTTTGGACGAAGGCCGGGGACAGCTGTGCTTCGGCCATGGTGTGCACTGGGTGGTGGAAGTCAAGGGTGTAGCCAGCTGCAAACAAGGCTGTGTAGAGGACTTGCACAGAATACCAACCGCTTGGCCCGATGTGTTCTGCCCGATCTTCATCAATGCCCTCGAGCTCTTGCATGTAGCTAGCCGCGGCGGCTTCCATGTCCGCGGGCCCAAACACTGCCGCCCCCAGCGCATTGTTGAGCGCACGCATACCACAGCGTGCTTCTTGTTGCTTCTGGAAGAAGGGCAACTCTGCGTCCACATTGTCTGCTCCATGTTCGGCGTCTGGTGGATGTGCCGGTGGAGGCAATGGAGGTGGCGGTCAGGAGGGTTGCCACCTGATGGAGCAAAGCTTGCAAGCTGAAGCTGGTGGACGGGTTGCTTGTTTGGAACAGACTTCGAATCTTTCATGGCTGGCTTGGCCTTCGCCTTCCCGGCCACTTTGGGGCGCTGCGACTTCTTGTTCTTGGCTGGGCATACACGGCCGCGCTTCTTGTAGTTCGTCGTGTCTGTTGCTACAAAGCCACACTTGGGGCAGGTCAGCGAGCCTGCCTTGCCTTCTTCCACCTCCAAGTCCTTAAGCCGCTGCTCCTCGGCATATGCTTTCCAATCCGGCGGCGTGGCGCAGGCCAATTTGCCCTGGTAGTAGGCGGCGTCTTCAGTCGGCCGGATGACTTCTTGCCAGAGCTCTTGCAAGGCTGGCTTCCTTGGGCCGGTGCTCTGCGCTTGCTTGGCCTTCAACTTCAAGAGGGCCCATTCGGCATTGGCGTTGAAGCGCAGGCTCTTTGGATCGAAGCGCTCCAAAGTGCAGAGGTCTTTGGTGGGAGACCTGCTCAAGGCCACGTACGCCTGCCCTTCCTGTTTGACCGACGCATCCAGCCGGGCATGCACGCCTTCGTGGTAGGTGGCAGCCTGACTCTTGTGGATTGCGACGGCCTTGGCTAAAACCAAGGGGAACTGATGCCTTTCCGCCTTGTCGCCGTCCTTGTCTTGAAACGAATGTGCACCGCTGAATGGCCACACTGGCGCATTGATTGTTACGCTGCCACCTGCTGCCCGCATCCTTCTCAAACTTGACCCAGATCTTCTGCACCTCCCCGCTCTCGTGGACGTCAATGTGTTGCACGACGCCCCTAGCTCCGTTCACCAGGCCATCTTGTACGTCCATATTCTTGCGGAGCATCACGGGCATGTCCACGGCCAGGCCCAAGAGAGCTTCCAGGCCACCGGTGTCTTCTGATAGTGGCCATGCCTTCTCTGGCGGCAGCAAGGTGCATGCGTTGACCGAGATGTCCACGGCAGGGCACTCGAGCATTTCTGCGTGGGCACTTTCCACGCACTCTTGAAGGCATGCCCGGTTACCATCTGCCACGGCTCTCCGTGTTGCGACCAAGTGGACGGCGCCGGCTGCAGGCTTGCGGTTCCCGTATTTCTTCAGGACCATGCTTTCCAAGGTCTGGATGTCTTCTTGGGTCCATTGGCCCACACGTACACGAGCCAACAAGGCGGCCCAGGCTGGATCTCTCGCTGCCCTCTGATTGCCATCGAGTTCACACAGCTCGAAGAGTGGCCACAGCTTGGAAGCAAAGATCGGGAGACCTCCTGGAGGTGGCAGCTGGTATAGATCGCCAATGAAAACAACATGTAGGCCACCAAATGGTATGTAGGGCATGTCCCTGGCCAAACGTAAATGTTGATCGATGCGATCCAGCATGTCCGACGACACAAAACTCAATTCGTCAACCATGAGTACATCCACGTGCTTCCCCTGCTTGTAAAATTGCCTTCTGTAGATAATTTTGCCTTTAAGATTGGCTTCGATATAGGGGCCTTGCCCTAAGCCCCGTAGATCATTTTGCACTTAACACAAAAAAGATTGGCGCGCGCGAGGTGCGCTATTAAAGTTCGAACACGAGCGGCGACAATTTCGCCTTTTAAAAATGGCCTTTTCTAGACAATTTTGCTTGTAAAATTGCCTTCTGTAGAAAATTTGGCTTGTAAAATTGCCTTCTGTAAACCATTTTGCCTTTAAGATTGGCTATCCTAGCCCTTTCAGAGGCGTAACGAGCAAGCAAGATTTCCAAGAACACGGGTACAGATGCAAATCACAATACAGGGTACCTTATCCTCGCCCCTTTACAACCGTAGTCAACAAGGAAGCTTTACAAGAACACGGGCACAAATGCAAATCACAGTAGAGGGTACCTTATCCTAGCCCCTTTGCAGGCGTAGTCAACAAGGAAGCTTTGCAAGAACACGGGGACAGATGCAAATCACGATAGAGGGTACCTTATCCTCGTCCCTTTAGAGGCGTAGAGAACAAGGAAGCTTTCCAAGAACACGGACGCAGATGCAAATCACAAAAGAGGGTACCTTA